AACCCTAAACCCTAAACCCCCCTTAAGCCGCGCATCTCTGAGCTCGACGAAGCCGAGGCGCAGGTATCGGAAGCGATAGTCCACCAGGGGCTTCGCCAGGTTTATCAATGCCGACCTCGTGGTGTTCCACAAAAGGGCTCCCTTTTTGGGATCTCTGAGGCCTCTACAAGGGTTTCCCTTAAGGGATCTCTGAGGCTTCTATAAAGGCTCGCCTTTAAGGGATCTGCGGCCTCCAAAAGGGCTCCCTTTAAGGGATCTCTGAGGCCTCTATAAGGGCTCCTCCTTTAAGGGATCTCTGAGGCCTCCATAAGGGTTTCCTTTAAGGGATCTCTGAGGCTTCTACAAGGGTTCCCTTAAAGGGATCTCTGAGGCCTCCATAAGGGTTCCCTTAAGGGATCCCAGAGGCCTCTATCAGGGTTCCCATAAGGGCTTTCGCTTTAGGGTCTAGGGAGTTTAGGGATTGGGGTTTCGGGTTTGGGGGCGCGTAATTCAATGAGGGCTTCCTTAAAGTTTAGGGTTCAGGATTTGGGGGTCTAGGGTTCGGGGTTGAGGGTGGAGTGCTCTACATTCCAGACCCGAAGGTTAGGGTTTTTTGTTCGGGCTGCTGGTTCAGACCTCTTGGCTCCATAAGGGTTCTTCAGGCTGAGGGTTTAGGGCTCTCAGATCAGGAAGGGTTTAGGGTTTAGGGTTTAGGTGTTTAGGATCTAGGAGGTTGAGGGTTTAGAGATTTTAAGGCTTTTTAGGGTTGAGGGTTTAGGTGTTTAGGGTTTAGGGCTTTGGTGTTAAGGGTTTCGGGTTTAGGGAGTTTCGGGTTTGGGTGTTTAGGGTTTACGGCTTAGGTGTTTAGGCTAGGGTTTAAGCAGTGGTTTGTCAACGGCGACCTCTTGGCTTCATATTCGAGTTCCACAGGGCTCGGGGCCAGGCTTTACCGCCTTTAAGGCTGAGGGTTTAGGGCCCTTGGTTCCACCGGGGCTTCCTCGGAGTTTAGGGTGTACGTGCTTAGGGCTTAGGGGTCTAAGGATTGCTTGTAGCATCAACCCTAAACCCTAAACCCTACCTCTTAAGGCGGCCTCAGTAAGGCACTTTCGTGAGGGTCCCATTGGGCCTCTGGGGTCCATTCTCTCGGATTTGGGCTCTGGGCTCTTTAGAGGGGCTCGGTTTCACGGCGGCCTTTAGGATTTATGTAGGGTCTATAGGGTTTAGGGCCGTTTAGGGTTTAGGTTTCATAAAGTTGCGTGCTTGACTTTTCTTGCTCTGGCGCTAGTATCACTCGAAGTCTTTAGATGCTTAGCTTCTCCATTCTATGCCGGGCTTCGGAAAGGCGGCAGACTGCACGGCCGGCAGATCGCTTGTCAGAAGCAGCGTTTGCCTGGATGTCCTGCGTGATGCGATGCCTAAAACCTTACCCCAAAACCCAAAACCCTAAAATCCCGCAAAACCCTACACCCCTAAACCCTAAACCTCAAACCCCAAAACCCCCGAACCTAAACCTCTAAACTTCTAAACCGCTAGACCCACAAAGAAAAACAAAAAGACTCAACTAGGACCCTGGGACCCTGAGGGGGTTGAGGGCCTGCAGGGTTGAAGGACCTGCGGTCCTGAACCCTAAGACCCTAAGAGCCGAATCTCAACCCTCAGAACCCAGACCCTGAACCCTAAACCCTAATAACAGGGTCTGAATAGTTAGAATAGGGTTGTGTGGTATATTCTACTATACTTATAATCAGGACCCCCCCCAACATAGTATAGCTAATTATGAAGGCCCCTATATTATGCTATAATATAATATAATTTAATAGGGACCCCCCCCCGTGTGCAGCTTAAACC